CAAATACTTTATAATACAAGCACATGAGCAATCATACAACAAAGTGATAATATTTATATTAAAATTTAGTCACTATTATTACAATCCAATCAATTTTATATTACAAGCAAATGAGCAATCATACAACAAAGTGACAATATTTCAATCAATCTATACCATAAGCACATGAAAAAATATATAAAGACGGGGAAATTATATAGTACTCAAAAAAAAAAAATTGATACCGTATCGTTGATTATCATTTTTATGGGTGAAATAATAATTTTGAAAAGAAAAATTATAACTACTCAAGGGAAGATCATAACCTAAAATCGATCATAAAAATCTTGATATCGATCCCAACCTTATATGGTTTATCGTACCCTATAAAATTATGACTGATACCTCACCAAAGTTATAACCAGTGTTACCAGACTCAGACTGGACCGGCCGGTCAGACCTATTCAACCATGAACCGGGACCCTAACCGGTCTGGTTCCTTAGTTGAACTGCTTAAGGAAGCAAATCAGCTAAAAATCGAAAAATCGGTCGATTTTTAACAAAAATTGATTTTTAAAAATTAAATTACATAAATAAATTTTTTTGTCCTAAATCAGTAAATAGTTGATTTTTTTTAACCTTATTCTTAGAAAAATTATAAATGACACCCCTTCTTTTTCTTTATAATTTACTTGAACCTCTTTACTTTACTTTACTTTAAAATACAATAACTCCCACTTTGTTACTTAATTTCATTAATTTTATGGCAAATTTTATGTATTTTATACATATTTTATATTTTTAGCTAAATTATTAAGTTTTATAATTATTATATGTTTTTTTTTATTTTTTTATTAAATGACCGATGACCGGTCCGGTACTGATAACATTTGTTATAACTTAATTTTAAAAATTATAATTTTTGATGTGAGATTAATGACAATACCGTAACCTTTTTCCCTAAAGATGACACTGGGGAGCGGACAATATAGAGCACACAAAGAGGGACATACTAAATCAATTCTTACTTAATAGTAATATTTTGAGAAAGTCAAGAACGGCGGATTGGGTTTACCATATGGGTCTGTTTTTTTTTTTTCATTCAGATTTTTTTTTCGTTATCATGTTATTTTTCTAAACATATGATTGTGTAAGAAACTTAGGTTTCCACCAGACATTTGACTTGGCATGTCCTCTATGACGTTGGCACTTACTGAATCGGCCTATATTTCGTAATACATCACGACTTATAGCACTCCGGATACTTATGCTTTGGTTTGTGGACTTCCACAGAACATGGTTGGTCTTGAAAGCCATGCTACCATATTGATTAGAGTTGTCGATGGTTCATGTGCAATTTGTGTTATGTTAAATTTTATATGTTCTATTCGTTCTTAGAGTAAGATTTTTCTTTTGTTAGATTGTGTGGCATTTAAATTATGTATGAGTTTTATTTAATTAAATTTGTTTGCACTCGTTTATTTAATAAGTCAAACTTATTCACTGTTAATCAATTGAATCTATTAAGATTCAACCTAAATTCGTTAATCCGTGTTGTTGGATAGTAAGTTTGCTCTTGATGTAAGTTTCCTGGCTGGACATTCAAATTGTACCGTCGTGGGGGATAGGCCTATCCGGTGGGGTTGATAAAATTGAGGCAATATGTAAGTCGGTTGGATTAAACTTCAAAAAAATAATTTACCTTTCAAAACACCAATTTGAGGGATTTGAGAGTCAACGTGTCAGTATATTTCATTTAACCCCCCCGCCAACAAAGATAAATACAGGTGAGATTGGATTGGATATATAAATCCCATCTATTTCGGTTCAAAAAAGTACGGAAATTTATGCGGGAAAACTATATCCAATCAAAAGCTCCAAATCAAAATAAACCGAATGGGACTGGATTGGATAGTCCGAGTCCTTCATTTCTTACTCTTGAGCTAAGTAAAATAAACGAAAAGTTAATTTACAAAGATAATAAATAGACTGAAATGTTGGAAACAATTAGGGGTGTAACTCGGACAGGTTAAACAGGTTGGATAGTCAATCCTAGATATATAATCTTCAACTCTAACCCTAATTCTAACTCTACCTCAGGTTGAGAAACTTAACTCGAGCATTGCCCGAGTTTAATTCGGACTGACGTGAGTTGAATTCAAATTAGTGATTTAGAACTAATTTCAGGTTACTTTACGGGTTCAATTTGGATTGAGTTCGGATAGAGTCCAAAATAGGCTTGTTATTCTAAACCTAATGAATACGAGCAATATTATTGAGACATAATTTATGGACATAATTTGAGGACATAATGAGTTCTCACCAATGACATGATAATGAATTCATTTAATGCTATAATGTGACTCATCATTAAATACATTTCACTATTATTTTATTGGTCACAATTCATTATGTCTCCAAATTATGTCTCAATAGTATTAGTAAATACATATATTACATAATATTCACCTAAATTAACAACCAATAACTTCAATTAAGTTTTTAACAGTACTAATGCTAGAACAAAAAATGAAAATGAACGAGAGAAACAGAGAATGATAGAACAAAAATGAAAAATCAGTGTTAATACTTTATATATATATAATTTTTTTTAATTTGTCGGGTTCGGGTTGAACTCGTGAACCCGAGCCCTTAACCCGACCCCAACCCCAAATTGAATTCAAGTTAGAATTTTTTTAACTCAATCCCAATTCAACTATTAAATACCCTTACTCAAGTCTTAATTTTTTCGGGTTGCACTCCTAGAAACATGTTTGTATCAGTTGAAATGATTGTCAAAACAGGGATGAGTAATCATGCTCATTGTGGCCTAAAGTAACATTTATGATCTGTTTGGTAGGATGAAAAGTTGGAAGAATGAAAAATTGGAACGATGAATAAAATATCATGTTTGGTAAAAAAAGAAAGTATGACGGATGAAAAAGTTGACGAATTAACTTTCCTTCCAACTCACCAAAATCAATCTCTCTAAAATCGAAAGAAAAGTGGATGGAAAGTTAATTATTTGTGTTGAGATATATCTTTTTTTATATACATATATTATGTATACATTAATTTCATATAAAAATATAATGATAAAATATGTGTGTATGTATATAAATATATATATATTAATAAATTTAAAAAATAAAATTAAAAAATTAAAATTTTAAATTAAAAAAAATATATTTTTTCCATCTTAACTAAGGGTGAAAATTTTCGACTTAACACGATAATACGACTTGAACTCGATACGAAAATAAACAGGTCAACTGATAATTCGATACGACACAATTAGTTAAATGAGTTAAGTTAGGTTTGACTAATATTCGACACAAATTCGTAATGACTCAACATGAATCTAATACGATACGACTCGATTAGTCATCACAAAAAAAAAATAATCATTTTTATTTTTCATCCATCCAACCAAATATAAAGGAAAGAAAATGTATCTTTCATATTTTTCATTCTTAAAGGATAGAAAGTGTATCCCTATTACTTTTCATCCTTTCTATCAAATGGAGCATTAGTCATTGACCAGGTGGGAGCTGTGAGTATTCTCTCACCAAGGGTGGACAATCGCGACGTATCATACGTGTTCATGTCGTGTTATATATAAATTTATGTCAAATATTAATTAATTATAATTAAATTTAATTGATATTGTTGTGTCGATTTTACTTGTTTATTTTTGTTTTGATCCATAAATAAAAAATTAAAATTAAGATTGAAGTCTAAAATTCTACTATTACTTAATTGAACGCACCCTAATACTTTTTTTATGAATTAAAAATTAATTTAATAAATATAATAACAAAAATGAGTACTTTTTTTGATATAAAAATTATGTCAATATTTGATAAAAAAAATAAAAAAATTGACATTTTATCCTTAGAATATTAGTTAAACGTATTAGTTGTGTCACATTCGTGTTATTCGTATTTGATATTAACCCGACTCATTTATTATTTGTATTAATAAGTTTTGTTATTTACAAGTTTGTATTAAAGAATGGTCCACTCTATCTAATCCGCTAATTTCGTATTAATTTTAAATCGTATTTTTGTATCACATAAAAAGTTGTTATCCCTAATTCCCAGTAAACTTGTGGAATCAAACTTTCGATGAATGAGAGACCCATTTGTATTTATATACAAGTTCAAATTCCTTCCAATGTTTTTTTTAATTTTTTATGTTGATAAATTATTTATTATTAATGAGTGAAAAAATGATTTGTATATAACAAGTCTAGCTTATATTTACGATCACATTACATTTAGTTGTACCAAATGAAGCATGAATGGCCAAAAAAATTGTCATTTAACTCGGAGAAAGTTCTAAGTTTCGGTAAAATAGATTCTGATACCATACGCTTACCAAAGAATACAGGCAAATGAAGGAATCATTTGACCAGACGATTCATGGCAGTTTCTCGGACGCTTCACCAAGCTATGGTAACCACATTCACAAAATGGAACTCTTATTAGGAAATATACATAAAATATATACTTGAACTTGAACGACCCATGAAAATCCACATTTCCATACGTAGGACCCTCTAATCTAAGGAGATTGTACATAATCATTGGAGATTGGAAAATTATTAGTCACACCTAAAGGTGAAATATATTAATAAACAAAAAAAAAATAATCTATATAAAATTAAATTAAAAGTCCTAATACTTTTTTTCAATTAGAAATTAATATTAAAAAAAATGATAAGATTTGCATCAACAATTTTAAAATTCGACGGTCCGAGATCTAATAATTAATTACTCAATGCAATGCATTTTCTCAGATTATTCTTGTTCAAGAACGGGACACAAAAGGGCATTTTGGAGTAAAATAAAAGTGCTTCTGTTTTTTGTATTTTGGTTAAATATTTTTGTTTTGGAGATTATTAAATAAAAGTCTCCTCAACCATGGTTAAACTGTAGTAGGTGGGTTTGACTAGTCTGGTTTGGTAGGCCGGTAGTTGCCCATATAACTCCCTCTCTCTCTCCTCTGCCATTTCAGAGTCTCTCCAAACCCCACCTGTACAACTCTCGCTCTCTCGCGTACACATTCAAGAACACGTTAAACCAAAGAGTAGAGAGAAAGAGAGGCTCTCTCTCCTTGACTGCATTTTCCGTTGCATTCTCTTGAGTATTCTTGCGAGCCAAACAGCCTAAGTTGTATCAACTCCATTGCTGGGTTCTTCTGACCCAGGTCGCAAATCAGGAGGAGAAACGTGGGTCTCTCTTGTTTTTCTGAATAGAATTGGTTATATTTTATTTATTCTATTCACTTTCTGTCAAATTTTCTCGCCGGCCAAAACATTCTTGACTTAATTGACTCGGTCATCGGAACTTGTCCAACACAGTGATTAAAATGCAATCCAGCAACATCAAAGTATCTCCATTCGATTTGATGACTGCGATCTTGAAAGGAGGAAAGCTTGACCAGACAAACATGTCGTCAGATGCCGGAGAGACCTTGTCGCCGGCGGTGGCGATGCTAGTGGAGAATAGGGAGCTGATTATGATTTTAACCACATCGGTTGCTGTCTTGATTGGATGCGCCGTCGTATTGATTTGGAGAAGGTCGTTCGGACAAAAATCAGCTCAAACAGTGGACCCGTCTAAGTTCGTGGCTCCGAAAATTGAGCCGCAGATCGACGTTGATGATGGGAAGAAGAAAGTTACTGTGTTTTATGGAACACAGACCGGTACAGCTGAAGGGTTCGCGAAGGTATATGGTGTTTTCATACTTTTGCATAATATTTCACGACATTTTTTATTGTTTTGGCTTCAATTTGAGCCATTTGATTCATTTATGCTTGGTTGAATTTATTGTTCTTTGAAGCTTATGCTTAGGTTCTGTGTTTTTTTCGGAGTATTGACGATGTTATTCTGTTTTTTAGGCACTTGCTGAGGAAGCGAATGCTCGATATGAAAAGGCAACTTTCAAAGTGATTGATATGGTGAGTTTCGTTTGGGTTACTTTATGTGATCCACTTAGAACCGGCGGAAGAATAACTTGGATACTCTTCTTTAATTTTTGGTATCATTCATATTTTTTAGATCTTTTGGCTCCATTTCAAAACATGAATTTTACAAAAAAATATTGATGGGGTATAAGAACAGTTATTCATAGAACTGGTATTAGTGGATCACTGCACTTCATATATGAATATTTCTGATCTGAAAATTTAATTGAATTGCTATGATTTTGATTGATTAATGGTGATCTGGTGAGTAGGATGACTATGCGGCTGATGATGAAGAATATGAGGAGAAATTGAAGAAAGAGACTTTGGTGTTTTTCTTTTTAGCTACGTGAGTCTTGAATTTTGATTATGCCTAGGTCACTGAAATGTGCAAATGTTTGTTTGTATCTATTTATTGAGTTTGGTTGGTTGTCGGTGGTGTAGATATGGAGATGGTGAGCCGACTGACAATGCGGCAAGATTCTACAAATGGTTTGCTGAGGTATAATTTACTTAATTTGAGTGAATTATCATCATTGGTTTTTAGTGTTTCAAAATATGTGGGGGCCAATTTTGATTAAATGTTGGTGCAGGGAAAAGAGAGAGGGGACTGGCTCAATAATCTTCAGTATGGTGTGTTTGGCCTTGGCAACAGGCAATACGAGCATTTCAATAAGGTTAGAAATTAATTTCATTTTAGGTTTAATTGCCGTGATACAGTATGGGTATGCTTTAATGCACGTATGTGTACATGCCCACTCTTTTTATGTACATATGCTGTGGTGGTTAACTGAAATATTATGTTCGCTTTATTGGGAAACAGATTGCAAAGGTGGTGGATGAGCTTGTTAGTGAGCAGGGTATGTTTCCTCTCTCATTTTTCACCCATTTCCCACAGTATTTGTGTCATTTTGGTGTTTTTGACATATTTCAAGATTGGATGTTGGACAATTGATTGCAAATAGTTGCAAAGACATGTGAACAAGATGTTCTAGTGAGCATTTGTCTGCTTATGTCTGTAACCTTTGAGAATTTTGATAAATTTGAGCTGATCTGTTCATGAACTTTGTGCTTGTGAGTTGTTAAATGTTGCTACTCTTTGAAGTTTCCATTTGCGAATTGATTAACAGTAGTTCATGTTGCCCCTTATATATTCGTAGGAGTCTAGTCCTAACTTACTATATCCCCAGCAGCTAAGGCAGTTTCATGTGTTCAACCCTTATTATCTGTGTTTAGTGCATTAATTGTTATTCATCAGTTGGATAAGGTTTCTTATTAGTGAATATGAATTTTGCTAGTGAAAATATATAACTAAGTGTCCTGCATACCTAGACGTTGCTATCAGAAAGTTACCAGTATGAAGTGGAATATATTAGCCAGTTAATTGACTTGGGCTTCATTGGCTTTGTACGTGATAAAAGGGCAATAATGCCTTGAAACATTAAGAGGGAAATTGTATTCCTGTCTATTATGTTATAGTGGGCTTATTGCATTGTGCTCTTGTTACCTTCAAGTTAGTTTTCCTTTCTTACATGATCTGTCCAATTGCAGGTGGTAAGCGGGTTGTTCCACTGGGTCTTGGAGACGATGATCAATGCATGGAAGATGACTTCAATGCATGGTATAAAGAAAATGGACTTTTATCTGGAAACCACAACTTCCAATTTCCTTAGTCCTTGTCGACATACATTGCAGGAAAGACTAAACGGTATTTTTCTGTTTGTTGCTGATTTAGGCGAGAATTGGTGTGGCCCGAGTTGGATCAGTTGCTGAGGGATGAGGATGATACAACTGTTGCTACTCCTTACACTGCCACTGTTTCGGAATATCGAGTTGTGTTCCATGATCAACCAGATTCATCACTACTGGAGAATGGCTTCAGTAAAACAAATGGTCATACTGTTTATGATGCTCAGCATCCATGCAGGTAGCCAAAAGATTGAATTTAGTGATATGCTCTTTCTCTAAATATCGTAACGCAACCTGACTTGTGCTGTTCTTTTCTTGAAGAGCTGATGTTGCTGTGAAGAAGGAGCTTCATACCCCTAAATCTGATCGCTCTTGCACTCATCTAGAATTTGACATTTCTGGCACTGGACTTTCGTAAGTCGCTCGGCTGCATCACTTATTTTCGGTCGAAGTTGTGGTGGGATACTGACAATTTGACAATTTTTTGTTCACCCTGGTTTCCTGTGTGAAACTGCTTTTGGTTGAATGTTGAAGAGAATGGGAAAAAAATAAAATTGTTGTGGTTTGTCAATCTTGTTCATAAAAGGTTTATTTGTTTTCATTTTGTTCAGATATGAAACTGGGGATCATGTTGGTGTCTACTGCGAGAATTTCATTGAAACAGTGGAGGCAGCTGAAAGGTTAATTGGTTTACCACCAAATACTTATTTCTCCATTCACACCAATAAAGAGGATGGCACCCCACTTGGAAGCTCCTTGCCACCTCCCTTCCCACCCTGCACTTTAAGAGCAGCACTGACTCGATATGCTGATCTTTTGAGCTCTCCCAAAAAGGTTCATCTTTTTTCCTTAGTTGACTCATTCTTGATCGAAGTTTGCAACCTGAATTTAACTCACAATCATATGTTTTCCAGTCTGCTTTAGTTGCTCTTGCTGCTCATGCTTCTGATCCAAATGAAGTTGATCGATTAAGACATCTAGCATCTCCTGCTGGAAAGGTGTGGATTTCTTTCCTAACATTCAAGTTGTTGAGATGTACCCTCTAATTTGTTTCTCATTGAAACGATTCTTCTATGCATCAGGATGAATATGCACAGTGGATAGTTGCAAATCAAAGAAGCCTTCTTGAGGTCATGGAAGAATTCCCATCGGCCAAACCCCCACTTGGAGTTTTCTTTGCAGCAGTTGCATCACGCTTGCAGCCCAGATACTATTCTATCTCCTCCTCGCCAAGGTGATTAGATTTCTAAGCTTTCCGTTTTCTTTATAGAGTTTGGAGTGCAGCCTGTTGTTGTGCAATGCACATTTAAACCATGTGCATCTGAGTCTTTCAATTCATCTCGAGACGGCCTAATAGTGTTCCTGATGGGGCACCTTTCGAAATTTTTGCTATTTACGACAAGAAAAATGAATAACGTTTGCATCCATGCCCTCATTGTCTTTTATTTTGTTCATTCTTCATGTTAATTGACTTTTATATTTTGGCGCAAGATTTTGTAACCTTCCTCATTGTTTGTGAAATTTATTTACTTATCATCGCTGATTGTATTCTACAGAATGGCACCATCAAGAATTCATGTCACTTGCGCATTAGTTTATGAGAAAACACCTACAGGACGAATTCACAGGGGAGTTTGTTCAACTTGGATGAAGGTAATGCTTTGTGCTTTATTCGAACTGTTAGTGGTACAGCTACGTCTTGTGGTCTATAAAATGCACAAGTATTCCTGAGTTACAAAAGATTAGGATCTGGAGTGCCTATTAATACATTGGTCATTTAGATTTTCTGAACCTATTCAGACTTCCTAGGCTTGATGAATAGAGATTCCTTTTCTACATCTATTGCAACGCATAATCTGACTAGACTCCAATATAGACTGGTCAATGTAGCTTCTATGTTGTCTCTTATGCCTCCTTTCTTTGGTCCCTTTTCAGAATGCCGTGCCTTTGGAGGTAAGCCGTGATTGTAGCTGGGCTCCCGTTTTTGTCAGGCAATCAAACTTCAAACTCCCCACTGATACCAAAGTTCCTATTATCATGATTGGCCCTGGCACTGGATTGGCTCCTTTTAGGGGCTTCCTTCAGGTTTGGACTAACACCTCTGAAGTTTCTTATTTCCTTGGGATATGCTTAAGTGTTTCATCGACTAAATACTGAAATGCCCATCACATTTCCAGGAAAGATTAGCTCTGAAGGAAGCTGGAGCAGAACTGGGGCCTGCCGTATTATTCTTTGGCTGCAGGAACCGCAGAATGGTAAGTGAATCATTGATAATTTATACGAACATTCTGATTGATAGTATATTTCTGTTTAACAAGCTTGATAAAATTGGGCTCAATTTTTGCAGGACTACATCTATGAGGATGAGCTAAACACCTTTGTTGAAACTGGTGCTATTTCTGAGCTCATTGTTGCTTTCTCACGTGATGGACCCACTAAAGAATATGTGCAACATAAGATGGCGGAGAAGGTATGGATCCCAATATTACAACCACCAATTGTCTAAATGAGATTTCAATGAATTTCAACTATTGCTATTTTCAGATGTTAATCGTGTATGCTCCTTCTGTCTTCACAGGCTTCGGATATCTGGAACATGATTTCCCAGGGAGCGTATATTTATGTATGTGGTGATGCCAAAGGCATGGCCAGGGACGTCCACCGAACACTTCACACCATTTTGCAAGAACAGGTATGTTAATGTGGATGGATTTGAGGCTATAATCTAAGTAGATGCATTTGGGTGTTGGTGTCCATCTACCTTCTGTGGAGCATGGTGGTTGCATAGGTGCACCTAATCATCATACTCTTTTAATGGTTAGGAAGAAGAGAGAGAGAGAGAGAAGGAGACTTGCTCTGTCCTACCAGTGGGGCTTGTTCTGTGCATGTCCACTACTTTTTATGATTGCAATGTCATGGATGTTGACAATGCCATTAGATATTTAACTTTTTGCGAGGCATATAGGCTGAGATTACAAAATGTTTCCATTGTCTTCATGAATTAATCAACAATTCTATTCATTTGGTGCATAAAGCGATCTCCCCAACCCCTTCAATTAAATATTCAATGTAACGGTGTCATCACGTCATCATTGTCACGTGGTGTTATCATCCCATAGAAAATTACCAAATCAATAAAGTGAACCACTTGCTAACTTCTTGTTTTCTTATTGAATAGTGACACCATATAGTGTGATGTCGTGGTGTTCCCGTTACTCTGAGTATTTTCACCTCCCCTTCCCTCTCTTACTTTTCACCACCTCATTTGGTTTTTTTCTTTTTCCTTTTTCTTTTGTGGCTTTGTTTAGGGAGAAATAATTTAACGGTAATGTGGGTACATTGTAGAATATTGCAAGAGGTAACTAATAAAGTTTGCTAATGTTGATTTTCAGGGGTCTCTAGACAGCTCCAAGGCTGAGAGCATGGTGAAGAATCTGCAAATGACCGGGAGGTACCTGCGAGACGTGTGGTGATTATTCTTTCAATGCTTCCCTCCCTAAAGATAGAGAGATTGGAAAATTCATAAATTTATACTTGCTGAGGCCAACTTACTGGGATGAAAGAAATATGTAGAAAGTTGAAGTGTGAGAGACTACTGACCACCTGCTGCCAGACTTAAAGTGGAAATTGTGGGTGTTGTGTCATTTATTTATTTCTTGTTTGAAGGATTTTTTGGTTCTTGTAATTTATGTATGCAATATATATATGAATAATAGTAGTAATAATATTGGGCATAGTTTCTGGACTTTGTAATTTTCATCTAGTGAGCAGTCAAAGATGGTTCCTAAATGTTCTGACCAAACTCATGTTGATTTTGGACTCTATATGTAGCCTTAATTCATTTGGAAATTGAAAGAGTGCTTACTGAAAGACTCTCTCAGCTGCTTTGGCTGCAAGTTTACATTACTGTTGGTCCACACTTTAAAGTTTCTGGTTCGGTCACAGCACCCATGGCCATTGGTCCTTAAAAAAAGGGTAACTTAGTACACGAGTTTAACACGAGAATCTCGTTATTAGGGGATCAATAGAGATTTAAATGTATACAGCTTGATCTCTACATGAAACTTGAGAGGATCCAGATCTTGAACCCACTAGTAGAGACTATGCAAAGAAAGAAAAGAGAAACTATATATTTTATGTTTTTTGATATGAAAAAGACATCTCCATTTTTAATATGAGAAAGACATTATGAAGAAGTATGTCTGAATAAGTTTGCTAGTTTTTTTTTATCCCTTACTACACATAGAAGAGCACACACGCGCATGTGCGCGCACATAACATTCCTTCATGCAATCAATTATTTACTTATAATATAATTTAATCGATCATTAAAGAGCTTCAAGATAAGTGGAAAAGAAGAGAAAAGAGACTGTAGCAATTGACAAGGAATCACTCGCCCAAGAGCATAACTTAGGGTTGAGTCTCGGTTACTCCATTTTTTTAAAATGTAACGTCATATTCTTATAAGAACCCAAATGACGAAAGTTGAAAGAGAAAAAGAGATTGTGTTTACGAATTATGCAGCTCTCAATGTTATTAATATAATTTATTTAATCACTTGTGCATAGCGTGCTTCCTATTATAATTACAAGGAAGAAGCAAATGAGAGCCATATAAAAAAAAATATATATATTCCCTATTATAATTACAAAGAATAAGCAAATGAGAGCCACACAAAAAAATATCATGTTGAGAGAGAGAATTAATAGATATAAATAAAACATTTCGTATTATTTGTACAAATTAATTATTTTAGAAAATGGGTTACTCAATATTTAATGATCTAGCCAAAGAATTGGACGAAAAAAAATGGAATATCGAGGTAAATACGGATTGAAAAGGAATGATATGATAATTGTTG